CTCGTGTTGGGGGGGGGTGGGCGGGGGGGGGGGTGGGGGGGGGCGGGGGGGGGGGGGGGGGGGGGGGGGGGGGGGGGGGGGGCTTAAGATTATTCATGTTTGAACATATTAGCAAATAACAATAGTTTTTATTTATTTATTTTCATATTTAGGTTGTTGATGATTCATCATATCGTTTTCGTATGTCTTATGATAATCGAACACGTTTAGTTGTAACTATATTTGATGAACCATTTATGATGTTAAAAAAGAATCGTAATGATACATTAACAGAGAAAAGTATTCTACGTGGTACTATTCTTGATCCATCACATGTTGAAGGTTTTTGTGCTGATTTAGCTTATGCTGTATGTCATAAGAAATTAAAATTACCATATAAATTTCTTATTGAAACAAAATATGGAAATGAAATTGAAAAAGGTGTTTGGGATGGTATGGTTGGAGCATTAGTTAATCGTGATGCTGATTTATCTATAGCATCATTAACAATAAATGGTGCAAGAGAAAAAGCAGTCGATTTTTCCAAACCATTTATTGATTTAGGTATATCAATAATGATAAGTAAACCTGATAAAGAAAAACCTGGTGTTTTTTCATTTATGGAACCATTATCAAGAGGAATATGGATTTGTGTTATTATATCTTATTTACTTGTTAGTGCTATTTTATTTCTTGTTAGTCGAACATCATCATATGAATGGTATTTTGAAAATGAAACCGATGTTATACCACGAAATAAATTTTCAATGCAAAATGCATTATTTTTTTCATTTGCAGCTTTTATGCATCAAGGTGTTGATCTTTTACCAAGATCATTTTCAGGTTAGTGTAGAACATTCTTTTTCTTTTCTTTTTTTATCATTCATTTAGTTAAAATAATTATAAAAATTAACATTTCATATGCAAATCTCATGATAGTATATCCATTGAATGACAGTATTTTTGCACTTGATCCAATTCATGTAGTAGTACTGTTGATTGTTTTGTTTTTGTAAAACACAATCTAAAAGAAGTATTAAGTTCGCAGAAATGACAGACACGAGCATAAAAATCATCATATATTATAACAATACGATCAAAGAACGTGTATCAATAATATCTCGTTATTGATATAGAAAATTACTTTCTTATTGCATTTCTAGAGGATTAAGTAAAAGAAATAATGTTGCTAAATAGATATAATAAACAAATCTTCATGTGATTAACAACAGAAACTATATCGTGTTTTACATTTTAATCTCTCAAGAATGATGATAATAGTGTTTTGTTTTTGTAATGTTCCTTCTTTTTTTTTTTTTAGGTCGAGTGGTAACTAGTGCTTGGTGGTTTTTTAGTTTAATACTTGTTTCATCATATACAGCTAATTTAGCAGCTTTTTTAACAGTTGAAAATTTAGTACCACCAATTCAAACTGTCGAAGATCTTGCTAAACAAACCAACATTCGATATGGAACATTAAGAGGTGGTTCAACAATGGCTTTTTTTAATAAATCAACATTAACAACATTTAAACGTATGTGGAGTTTTATGCAACAAAATAAAGATGATGTTTTTGTTACATCAAATCGTGAAGGTATTCAAAAAGTTCGAGATTCAAAAGGTAAATTTGCATTTCTACTTGAATCTACATTAAATGAATATGTTAATGAACGTTCTCCATGTGATACAATGCGTATTGGTGAAAATATTGATGCAAAAGGTTATGGAATAGCTACACCACTTGGTTCAGATTTACGTGAAGCTATTAATATAGCTGTTTTAGAATTAACAGAAAGTGGATTTCTTGAACAATTAAAACAAAAATGGTATTATGAAACAAGTGAATGTACAAATGTTGGTACAAAAGAATCAAAACAAAGTCCACCACTTAATTTAGCTAATGTTGCTGGTATGTTTTATGTTTTAATTATTGGTCTTGGAACGGCAATGGTTATTGCATTTGCGGAATTTTTACTTAAAGCAAAAATTGATTCAACTCGTTTAAATCAAAGTATACGAGATGTAATGCGTCGAAATTTAAGAATATCAATAACAGGTATTGATTTTGATGAAAAGCAACAAAATGTTGATTATTGGCCCTTACAACAACAACAACAACAACAACAACAGCAGCAGCAGCAACCAGCTAGTTCTCTCTCGAATTCTCGATTTAATGAACATCATGAACGAACACCAACAATAACAAGTATATTTGATGTACCAAGAACTGTAGAATCTTTTGATTCTAACGAACAAAAAGATATTATTTGTCGTTTTCCTAATCGCGATCATATTTCCCATGTATAAAAAAATTTCTTATTGTTCAGTCAATATATTTATATTTTTCGTGTTTTTATCGAGATTGATGTCAACTTATATTTGGCTGAGTCATACTTGATTATTGATTATAAATAAAAATTATAATTTTTTCAATTGAAGAACATATCAATAACAAAATGAATATAAAAACAAAATATAGAAAGATTTATAATTAGAGCTATTCATTCAGCTGTCAATTTTTAATGAAGAACAAAAGTCAAATATCATCATTCCTAGACAAAGAAAATATGTAAATAGAAGACAGCTGAGAAATATTTATTTTCGTTGGCGTTGTTCAAGCAGTTGTTGAACTTCGAAGTTCGTTTTTTGGATACAATCGAATGATTGAACAGAACTTCAATGATTTATCAAGGTTGAAATAGTACATTAAAATGAGTACGGATATGATGAGAAAATTCAAATTGACTTATGATCTTGAAATATAAGTTTTAATAATGAGACTTTTCTTTCAGCTAGGAAAATACGTGAATAGAAATATAATGACAAGTATTCACAGGGCATGTTATTTGTAATCAATAATGAAATTCGGAAGTTATTCTCAAAAAGTCATTAAATGTTTGAATAATGCAGTATTAAGAAGTATGAACTTAAAGTGTGATTTTCATGCAATTGATGTAGTGACAATTTTTCGTTCACAATATTTATATACACGAACATAAAAATGACTAGAACTTTTTATTGTGAAGTGATCGATTAGTTGGTAAATGGTATGGTTATTGTACAGAACTATAACGAGAAATATTCATTTAAAATGTAATTTTAAATAAACATTAAAGTCAAAAATATTGAGTTGAATGCAACTAGATGACTGAAATAAGGTGTTATATAAACTGACGACTCTGAATCTTGCATTGATTGCTTAATTAAATGTTAAGTTTTTTTTCTTTGATAAAATTAGATACTTAAATAATTAGATTTTTAGAAAGATGAGTAGTGACGAACTAATCAATTCAAAACCATTTGTCTGAACACTAACGAATAACTGAAAGACTTAGTGATAAACGTGTGATCTCTAATGAACTATTCTGATCAGAGTCGTTGTTCAGAAGTGTGAGTTCTGTGAACAGTTTGTAAAACAAAAACAAAACATTGTCTCATATGCTTTTTTGTTGTATTCAATACCATGTTTGACTTGAGAAAGAAGAATATGCAGTAATAAAAGTCCGAAATTTTACACTATTCCTACGGAAAAATCTGTAGGCAATAGACGGATCTCTTTATGTTGAACAATAGTTAATATTAATAGTTTGCAAAATACAATCTGGTTGTATCACTGATAATTTTTGTCTTCTCAAACTTATTGATGTGGACAGTTTTGTCAGCGGACATATTCAATGGTTTAACTGATTGCTTGAGCAATTCGAAGAAACACAGTGTGGATGCTATAGGTATTTAAAAAGTTCTTAAAAGACAAATGTCTGTTAGTTTTTTTTTTTCAAACTTACACGATTGGATTACGGTTGGAATCCCACTGACAGTCTGCATTAAAAAGGAATAAAGAGAATAGAAAGAGATGCATGACTTTGCTTTAAAAGATTCATAAAAGCTCGTACAACAATCAAAAAGTGACAAATTAGTGCGCTATTAATCAGAACTTTTAATGCTGACTCATAAAACTCAAAAGATGAGAACGATTTTTAATTTCTTGATATTTACTGTCGTACCATTCTTGAGTCGACTGAACTCATAGTGAGAGATCTACTTGAAAAACAGACTAAAGAAACAGTATTTTCTTCACAAGTATTTGATTGTAATGTCACTTTAGTCGAATATGCATTCACCAAGAAAGTAAGCGAACTTCGAAAAAACTCGAATATCCAAAATTTATTTCGTTTGTAAACGCTCACAAATAGTAAGAGTTAACATATACGAATAAGAGATAAGTGCTGCAAATATTTCAAGGTAGTTCTATTAATATGTGATGGACCTACTATATTATTCACAACAGAACAGACGTAAATAACAGCGTATATATTTGTAAGACATACAAAAAGATTTAGGACAAGAATTCCTACCACAAATGCCAAAAGTTCTTCCTAGAGGCACAACAATATCAATTCTGAAAGTTTGAAACCGCTTAGAATTCAATTGGTCACTATGACTTTATCTTCAAGTCGATCTTCTCGATTTTGAATTTTCAAAGGTTCCGAGTTCTCTCAGTCTTTCGTTCAAATTATATGGTAAATTGTCATAAATACTTCGATGAACTCAGATATCTAATCTTAGAATTTCTGTGCAGGTGCCTAAATAAGTCAATTACAATCTATTTTAGCTGCTTTCATGAAAACCGATTTATGCCTATCTTGTTCTTATCGTATGTGTACAAAGAAAATGTTTAATCTTTTTATTGAACTTATTGATTCAAAGTGAATAGATTCATCAAAATCGACTAACACTAATAACTATTTTCCGTAAAAAATTTTTTTTTCCCTAATAAACAGAGGTGAAGTGTATTGCCAGGATTTAAATGAAGAATGGGCTAAGCAAAACTCCTATACATAAATTAACACAATTTCTATCATTTCGGTGTAATATGTTCACTTAATTTTGATCATATTTTTTAGTACTGACTGAATACTAGCTTAGTAGAGATATAATTTTGATTAGTTAATCAAGTTTTGAATATTCGAGCATTCATGCAATATAATTTTTCAGAATGCACATAGAATAATGAAAGATTTAATACATGTTCGTTGTTTGACTTCCTTTCTTTTGGTTATTGACTAGTTAGTTGAATCTCACTGGTAAAATGATTTGTAAGCCCGCTAAAAAAAGAAAAGTCTCGAGTATATACTCAACAATTCACCAAACTATAATCTATTGAAAGCTCCTAAAAAAATTTCATCCAAATAACTTCTTGAGTAATTTCATGATACTTTTCAATTTTCAGAAAGTACGAATAAGAATAAAAATTTTCTGAGAAATACTTGTGTATCAACATTACTAATGGTTACTATTATTTTCAAAATTCTTAAATACACATTTCTATTTATATAAGGAAGCACAAAAGAAAATCACTGCTCTTCTCACTAACGAAAAGCGTATGTGAATACGACGATCAATAACATCATATATAAGATTTGCAATTATTAGCATGGATTCCAGTGAGATCCTCTCAAATCTTCGAAGCATTGCTGCCAAGACTCATCGAGAAATCTTTTGAAAGAACTCATTGAAGATACTTTGACTAACAGTTGAATCGGAGAGTCATTTTGAACTTTAGATGTTCTAGATTCTTATAATATATTGCGCAATATTATTCTCTACTTAATTATTGAATGACTCACGGCATCAATTTTGTTTATTTACTAAAAAAAAAGTGCTCACACAAAATTACTCAAATCTAGTATTCAATCCAAACCGTAAAATACCAGTTAGCATAAAAAAAAACTACACAAATATTTGATTGTATTGATGGAAGTTTGAAAATGATAGATGCTTGTAATCATTTGTACTCATTGCCATTTGTTCGACTGGTTAACACGACAGATGAGCCTTCCCACGGTTGAACTCTTCCATCGATAAATTATGAAAGAAATAAAATCAATATTCGATCAACTCAAACGTAGTGCACACAAACGTGCGACATCTCATAATATTAATGACTTGCTATAGTATATTTCTTCATAGATAAGTTAATCATCTTAACAGAAACAAATAAGTTATTCAAATGATATTTCTTCTTTTTTTTTAATCTAGTATTTATAATTGTTCTATCTTATTCTATTATTATGATATAATCTCATGTGTAAAGTCTTCAAGAAACAAGGATAAACTTTTCTACTTGGTGACTTTCGTTACCAACATGTCAATAAATCTAAAAAAAAAATCTGGTATTGTTATAGAAATAATTGTATAGGTTGTGTGAGTTTGATAATACAAAATATATTAAAGTCAGAGATCATATTCATTTATTAAATCCTGAAGAAACACTTTTAATAGAATTTAAATTAAAGATTACAGATAGTGCAACAACCTCGACGAAGGTATTAAATAATGTTCTTGCATTCTTTAATATCTTGTTTTTTATGTTAGGCTCTAATGTCGGTGGGTTTATCTGTCAATGTATCGTATGACTGGCATCGAAGTATCGCAAAGTTTATTTTGACATGGCAAAAAAAAAGAAACATCTTTTAAACGTTGAAAAATTATGATATACTTAAAATTCTCAAGGAAATTTAGTCATAAACATGAGATCTTTAAATAACTTACCTAAATTCATATCAAAATATCAATCGAGATATATTTTAATCAATTTTCTTTCCTTATTTTCCAGTCATATTTTTGTGTTTGCTTAGCTTTATTTATTTAATATGATCCGTTGAAGATAGTTCATAATAAAATAAAATGACATCCATTTCAAATTACTTTGAAATCCTTTAAGAAGATATCCGAATTATTCCACGGATTTATTTTTGTATTTTATATTTATATTTGAAATATCAGAACACAAATTGAAACACAAATAATGTTCACTTATAAGAAATAAATGTCGAAACAAAAAATACTGTACAAACAAAAACATATATTAATCACTTTTAGTATTAGTAGGCTATGTGTCATGATTGTTCTCAGTAACAGGTTTCAATATCAATTGACCATTTTTTTGAGGTAATATAGGTGCATTAGCTAATTTTGCATCTACTCGTGTTATTCCAATTGATTGATCTAATGCATTTCGATTGATAAAATTCAATTGAAACTGAGTCGATGTAAAAACATAAAACATTGGAATCCATATAACTGATGTTTTAGCAAAACATGCACAAAAAAAAGTAGCCATTGGTGATATGGCATAATCTTTACCTCGAAATGCCGAGACAAAAAGTGTCACTGCATAAGGAGTCCATGTAAAAGCAAAACCACTTGTTGTAATAATAATACCTATGTCAAAAGCAAAAAAAAAAACAAAATATAATTGATATTTCTTCAAGACAATTTTATTGAATGAATAACAAAAAGAAAAAATAATTACTTTTAAGAATACGTCGTTCCATTTCAATACGTTTTCGATTGAATACTGTTTGAATACCATTTTCAATTTTTTCACGCATTCGTTTAAGTCCAAGCATAGTAATTGTATTGACAATAATGAGAATTATAAGTGGAACGCAATAGACAACAATGAAAAGAAAGAACAGAAATGCAATATAGGAAGTACGTCGATCGTACCAATTAATGCAACAAGAAGTACGAGCACCCTAGAAAAAAAAAATATAGACAGTTATTATATATCATAATAAATGTGAAATAAATTCGTTATAGTAATAAAATAATCAATACTAACCTCCATTGTATATTCATTCCATCCCATAACTGGTAACATAGTCCAAATAAAAGCAATAAATATTGCAATACATGAAACGATAGTACATTTGTTCACCTAGAGTCATTTGAACATTAAGTTTTTATATTTTTTGTTTTTCAATAATTATAATTTTTACTTACAGTTATATATTTAGCTTGAAATGGTCGAACAATAATATAACATCGACTAAGACTTGCTGCACAAAGTAAATATGAACTTGAACATCCATATAAAAATGCAACAATAGCACTTAATTGGCAACCTGCACGTTTATATAACCATTGGCAATAAACTGAAGATGTACCTGTCAATGGAAGAATTGTACATGATGCAATAAGACCCAGTCCGACAATAAACATAACGAATATATTTGGCGGTGAACGAAGAGTTTTGTATCGTACAAAACTATAAAATAGAGCTCCATTAAAAACAATACCAATAAATGCAGCAATACATAAAAATATGCCCATAATTCGAATCGTATTACAATCAACAGGTGTTGGACGACTCCAAAATAAAGGATCATCACGAGAAAGGTTTTCATCAACAATTGAAGAATAATTGAACGACATTGTTAATGTTCTTTTGTAAAATGAAACAGAATGAATATGTATATATATAAATATGCGTAAATCTTTTTTTTTTTCTACTTTTTATATTCAAATAGATAAACAAAGAAAAAGTAGCTTATAGAAATTGTATTCATTAGTAGACGTTTATCTTCGATGAATTTTTTCTTGCATGTTTAATTTAATGAATAATCATAAAAAGCAGTCAAAAAAATTATAGAGCTCAGTAGTTATGAGAAATGAGAATAAATGCAAAAAAAAAAAATGAGACAAAATGATTCATGATTATGTAAGACGGGTGACTTAGCTAATAATAGAAAGTTAATGCGTTTCAATCTTCACTTATGAGAACTAATATGGAAAAATTTGTATAAACAAATACTAATTAATTCGAATTTTATTTTTTCTATCGTTCTCATAACACAATTGAATTAAGACAAATTCGTTCGTTTTTTCTATCTTTTTCTCACATGTAAAGAACGCAAAAACATGATGTTTATTTATAAAAAAAAAAAAACATAACGATTAATAGCTTTTCTTACGGCATAAGCTCTGAAATCTATGAAAAAATTTTATTTTAAGAAGATTAATTTTTTTGTATTTGAAATTTTCTCGTCCAAATATACGATAGAATAACTATGATTCTTCTCATAAAACCTTCATAAACTTCGAAAAGCACGACTATTTTTTGAGATAATAGGAGTCCTATGACAAAAATAATGTTCCAAATTTTCTCCTACAATAATGTAGGAGATCGTGCATAAAACAAACGTCTACATTTGTTCATGTCTCCATGAATGGCAATGCTTTTATGTTTCATATTCTATGAATCTTTTTAAAATAGACAACATATATGTTATTGCTCGAATCATCATGGGTTGTTGCTTTTCTTATAGTTTTAGCGCATCATGTCCGAATGTGAAACAGAAAATAAATATAATCAGTTTTCTTTTAAAAATGAGACATAAAAATTATAGTTTTGAGTAAAAGATTGAAAGAAATTCAAAACTATGAAGAGCTTTTGATTTCTACATGACTGATAGAGAAGATTGGAAATTAAATTGAGAGTTTATTGGAGCATACAAAGAAAAGAAAACACAATTTAAAGATAATCAATGGGAATACTTCTTAGTGCAGGATATTTCATCAGTCTTTAAGTATGACATAATTAATTTATATGTGGCTAGAAGATGAATTCTAAAAGAATGTTTTTATTTGGCTTTTAAGTTCTCATCCGAACGGTTCAAATGACATTTTACTGGGTACAATTTTCTCTTGTAATAAGAAAAATATGAAATTGAAAATTTAAAGATAAATTTTTCTCAGTAGATCAATGTGATTTTTTTAAAATTAAGTTCTGAACATATTCTACATAAAAAATAGTGTCTAGTTACATGTTCAACTAGGGTATGCACTCAATAGCAGAGTTGAAATGAATAAAATATCCGGAAAATGTCGTGTTCTAATCGCAAAAACAAAAAACAAAGATTTTATTTTGAACTATTAATAAATAATTTCATAATCGAGTTTTATCTCAAGAGAAGGTGAAGCTAAGTTTGTTGAAAAACAATCAACTGACAGTGTTTGGAGAATATTAAAGAATAAGAGTAAAAGGAGAACAATTTTGATATTTTAAACTAAAGTGAACAAAGAATGAAAAAAAAAACTTGATAGTGTTTTTCGTTTTTTTTTCTATTAAAACATCATTTTAATCATTGAAGAAAATTTATTTGTACATTGTCATGTTTATATTTTTATTCTTATAAGAAAAAATATTATTCGATAATATGTCATGTTAAAGACTTTGACGCATAACTACTCAATGTTTCTATATAAACATCCAGTTAATGGTTATTATCTGTCTACTAATAAACTAATAATGTCGCGTCTTAAGACTTTTGAAACAGTGTGTACTAATAAATAAATTGAAGATTTTCTACAAACAAATATAATATATTTGAAAAGTTTAGGATTAATCTTAGACAGTATTGTTCACAGTATTATGCTTACCATTAAATGATAAAAAAGAGTTTGTTTGATTTCTCTTTTCAAAATTTTTAAATGAAACTATTATAGAATCATCGATGAAATTATTAAATAGAAACTAATCGAACTATAGATTTCTCATTTTGATCGTAGAAAAAAAAACAAGATTGACTAACGAGAAAATACATTTAGTTTTTTTTCATAAGAATCAAAGGATATCCTTTTTTTCTAGTTTCATTGGTTTGATTATTCATATTAATTATCTAAATAGAAATATGTTTGTGATATATCGAGTTTAGAGTATAGTTGCGATTAGAACAGTGTTTCGCAATTAGTGTCTTGTGGGAATGATTGTTTCTCGTTATTCTCACGAGTATCGGGAACGGAAACGAGATTAAAAAAAAATGAGTTTTCCCGAAAGTTATTTTGTTTTATGTATATTCTCTCAAAAACTTAGCTTTTTTCAAATAAAAAATATCGACGTCTATTTAATGTTTTATTGTTGCGAAATAGACTTCGGCATTCTTTTATAGACTTTTGTATCAGTTATTAAATGAAAAGAATACTAAATACCTAAAACAAAAGTTATACAAGTTCGTTTATAATTCATTAAATTGTAATTCAAATATTATAACTATTAATTTCTTTGTGACTATTACATTTGAAAGGAATATTATACAGATTATCTCATAACATAACATTATTATTATCTTCTCCTTTTGAATGTTTTCATTTTTCCATAAATATTCTTGATGTACTAGTATTTATATTTAATTCTCTTTTCAATTACTCAATTGATGAAGAAAATAATTATCTTAACTTAAACTTGATATTTTTTTACTCAAATATATCTCCAATTATAATTTTATTTTTGATTTAAGATCATCTTACGTCATGAAAAATACAATGTTGACAGAAGTTAGTGTCTGATAATATTAGTTTTTCTCAAACAAAAAAAAAATGAAAGCATTATGGAGATAGAAAATAGGAATCGAGAAAAGTCGTTTCCTCAGGACATTATTTGTAATTCTCTAATAAAAGATATCGCGAATGTAAAAACAAAAAAGTTTGCTTTTTTTCTTTGCTAATATGATTTAATTATATTTTGAAGTTTATTTGATAATAAAGATGTGTTTAGATTGTTATTCTATGTATAAACAATAATAAGTTGACTGTTTTTATTTTGTTTAATAAAGCGTATATTTCGAGAACATTGTTTTTTTTTATTTCTGATTCAATGGGAATATTGAATGATTAATGAAGTTTTCCGACAGAATTTTTTTTTTCGAAGTATTGATGTGTACGAACAGAGGGTTAATGTGGGCGATTTTTCAAAAGCAAGAATACGTTGCATCATATGTTTGTCTTGTAATTATAACATTAGAACACAATGTATTATAGAAAGTATTAATGAAATTCAAAGTTAAATTTCTTATCTAAACAGTATAATCGATGGTATATGACGCATTTTCGTTGTTGATAAATTTTGCATCAATTTTTTTTTGTTGTTTCTGTTAATTTTACTGTTCGTATTAAAATAATCAAAATGGAAATGAAACACAGAAGATAGAATTGCTCCGAAAAACAAAATGACCTCTTGAGATATCTATTTCGAATGAACAACAGGGAAAACATAGTATTTTTTTTTATCGATTATGATTAATGCGACCTTAATTTGTGAAATTGTGTGGAAATTCATTAGTTCATTCTGTTTATAAAGCATTATTCCAATTACAACTCGTTTTCTACAACAAGCTTCAATTAATTCACACATTTCATATTCATATAAATTTTAATGGCAAATATGACATAATCATCTACGTCAAAGGAATACTCAACAAAAGTAATGTTAGTAAGAAAAAAATTCTTCTTTTACTTCTTTTTGTTCTTTCTTTTATAATTGAGGATTGTATTTAGACTAGATATAATAACATGTTAAGCAAAAAAACAATATTGAACAAAGAAAACACAAGTTATTCTTTAATTTTGAAGTCTAATAGTAAAAAAATCAAATAATTTGACATTAATCACCTATCAAACTTATTATATAATAAGTTTATTGAAGAAATATATTTATATTTTTTTGTTCATAAATGAAAGCGGCTCATTAAGACTGCAAAACATTATTATTGCTTAATTAAATAAATACTTTTCTTTGCATGATATCGTTTTAATCTAATGTAAAACTTGATTTATTCATTGTGCTTTTGCTCTTTTGAATGAAAGTTACGAACAATTTACTAAATCGACCTTGAATTTCATATTAAGATTTTTCGAATTTAAAAGATAATTCTCAACTGTATATAAAAAAAAATTAATTTTTATGATTTCTAATTTCTTGTTTGATGTTTATGAATAACATGCTAATCTTAAAACATGTCTTTTCAAAGAATTATTCTAGGAAAATATTTTTAAATTTAATTGTTACAAAACTAAAATTTTCATGATGTATGTCAAATAGGATGCTACGAATCCTTCCAGAACAACGTTCGAGTCTTCAAAAATGTGGATCTGTAGCTTTCAATAGATAAGTATCGAGAAATATTAACAATGTGTTGTGTAAGATTTTTAAAACTGATATCAATAATTGTTTTGAATGATCGATAGTCAAGTATTGCAAATTCAACACAAGCAACTTTAATTTTCTGCTCTAACTCGAGCTGGAGTAATTGATTGATACTTAGTTGAACATTGAAAACTGTTGTTTTGACAACTACGAATCTACTTAGACAGTGAATTAGTACCAGACGATGATTTATAAATAAGTATCTTCATTGTCCATGAAAACAATTAGATATTCATAAAAACAAAATTTTATTATATAAAAATAAAGAAATGTTTCACTTTCTTCTCTATTGGCACGAGCAGTACTACTGATAAGTACTCAACATCCGTAGATACTTATTTGATCGATATCTTCACTAAGGTTGAGTTCATCTTTTTTTTTCCGCAGTTTATTGCAAGCCTTGCTTCAATAGTTGAGAGAAAATTATGTTTTGCGCTAGTTCAACTAAGAA